TTATTAGCTATCAAATAAAATTGGCATTTTAAACATTTTATCAAACCTTTTAAACAATATTTGATTTGAATATCTACCAGGAAAACTTTATCAATCGATAAACCAACTGATACTCAGAAAATATAAAAACGAAAAAAAGGAAAGTGATTTGGCAAAAACATATTTATAAGGCTGAAGAAGACTAGTCTAAGTGATTCTAATGTTTAGGAGCTTATTACTGAAAAATTATAATAAAGTATAAAAACCTCCTAATAAATCGGATACAATTCTTAAAACCTTTGTATCTTCATTTGGGAATGATTGAAAAATACGACCAGTGCAACAAATTTCAAAAAATTTGATAGGATTCATTTTACTTTGATCCTTTTAAATTTAAATCTGAAATAAAAAAAACACTTGAATTATTTGAATCAGGTCATAGGCGAAGTCAGGTTTTTGCTTGGTGGGGTTTAAAAAAATTTTATACTTTTTATACTACAAAATTCAAATTCTGATACGTGCAATATGCAACACAAAAATAATATGAAAATAATATCAAGTCTCATCTTTTTCAACATCTCACTGAGCAAGCCACCCCCGTCGATCGTCACTAGACAACTTTTGCCCTCATCTATGTAAAACTCGCCAATCTTCCCTTATTGCATCAAGCACCTGTCTTAATCTGTTAAAAACTGCCCAAGTTTGTATAGGCCATTAACATTACATGAACATTAACCCATGGTCATCATAAGACCGACATCTGCGGAACTTAAAATTGTGCTGCACTTTTAAGCTTGGATTTATCTACCAAAAAACATTGCTTAGTTGATTAGTGTATGATTTTGGCATAAGGGGCCGTGCCCTCACGTGGTTAGGATCATACCTTGATGTCAGTAAATTTAACAAGGTTAGAGCAACTAGAAGAGCAGCAGAGTCAACAGCTTTACTTAAAGGATAGAGTAGAATCAGGAAGGCCATGGTAGAGCGAGTTACAATAATTAATCCTAGATAAAACTAAAGAAGTAACAACAAGAAGAAGAGCAGGATCATCAAGAGAAAACAAAAGTTTTTTTATTCTATGTAGATGAAAGTAAGAACTTCTAGCAAAACTATTAAAACAAATTAATTCAAATTTAGAAGGATTAAGTTTAAGAATTTGATATTCGTATCAGGACAAAAATAATTCTGAAATAAAAGATAGCATAATGAATTTACACTTTTACAGGTAAAATAGTGTCTATAAATAACAAACAGGCTAAAAACATCAAGTATCATTAATTCCTTGAAAATTGTAAGAAGATTAATTAGCTATCAAATAAAATTGGCATTTTAAACATTTTATCAAACCTAACAAGGTTCCCACTCTCTGTGACTTGCTGGCCTCTTTTATTTCACAACAGATGTCACACTCCCAACTTAAATATTATCTCTAGAATTGACATTTTTAGTCATCCCAACGCTGATGGTACTTGTCTCTATACAGTCATTTCCAAGTCAAACATCACTTCTCAGCTCGACAACTTAAGCGCATGTACACAAGTGATTGAAGACTAGAATCTTTGTAACTATCTTCAAATGAACCCAAAAATTATAAAATATTTTATTTAATTTCAGGGGTGTTGAACGTCAAAATTTAAACTGCTGCTTTGTAAATTTTTACCAGAGGAAAATAAGAATAATAAAAACTCATTAACAAATTTTCTCAGTCTGTCAAATGCACTATATTTTTATAAATACAAATTAAAATCCTTATTTGAAAAAATGCCTTTTTTTAAATTTAATTTATGTGAAAAAAAAAATCGTAGATTGAATGACCAAATAAGAAGTTCAAAATCCTTTCTATATAACAGCGTTCAACAACTTGGCAAATCATAAAATTAGTTGTGCAAATCCTGGCAGTTTGATACTCAAAAGATTATTAACGTGAAGATTATAAAAACACCAGATAAAAAATCTAATGTTGTGAAAAATTTTTTTCTTGGATTCATTTTACAAGAACAATTAACTTGTGAAAAATTAGAGAAAGCAAATTTTAAGGAATTTAAAGCTACAAAGAGTGAAATTTAAATTAAATTATAGGTGTAACGTTAATGAACCTAGCCTACTATCTAAATTCATATAAATATACATCTCAGTGATTGATGAGTAAATAAAAAATTATTATCAGCATATCAAGACCAACCAAAGCTGTAAAAATTAAAATATAGTTAATGTAAAACTAATAAATTGAATAACCCTGATTGAACTGGCATTTCGAAAAAATTAATAATTGAGATTATTGGTTTACTAACTTAAAATGTAGGATATAAATAGTAATAAGAAATCAACATATTTAGTTACTAATTGGAGTAAATAATTTTTCACCAGCCATTTGAAGAATTGAAAAAATACTGAACATGTAAGAGTTCCTAACTAGAATTAGTTTAAAGCATTGGATAATTGCAAGTTATTTCAAAAAAGCTGAAAAACTAAAATGAATGCTAAACTGGGGAATCAAACCAGGAATGCTGATCAAATGTCCGAATTATAAGAGAAGAAATTATACTAGCGTGTAATAACTGACTGCAGCTATAAAATAGTAGAAAAGTATTGCAGACTCCTAACCACGAAAGTGCTAAAGAATAAATAGCAGAAATTCTCAATTAATGTATAATTATTGAATTGAATAAGTTATAAGTTGTGGTGGAAGGGGGATGATGGTACGGGAGGAGTTGGTGTGATGGTAAGAGAAGAGTTGTTGGAGCAGGTGTTGGAAGTGAGGCGGAGAAGCAATGGGGTAATTGTGGTGGTGATGGTGTTTGGAAAAGTAATAGTGAGGGTGATATCAGGATATGCTCCGCAACAAAGTAGGAAGGAAGAGGAGAAGGATAGGTTTTATGATGATGTTTCTGACGAGATTGGGCAAGCGGGGTTGAATGAGTTTGTGGTGTTGTTGGGTGATCTGAATGGTCATGTGGGGGCGGATGCAGACGGATATGAAGGTGTACATGGGGGATGGGGATATGGTATACGGAATGAGGAAGGGCGTAGAGTGTTGGAGTTAGCGGATGCACACAGCATGGTGGTGGGGAACACTTGGTTCACAAGGGAACCAGCGCGATTGATTACTTATAGGTCAGGAGAACATAGATCGATGATCGACTATATATTGGTAAGGGCCAAACATAGGAAGTATGTGAAGAATGTGAAGGCGATACCTGGTATGTTGCAGCATAGTATGGTTGTGATGGATGTGACATCAAAAGAAATGGGGAGGAGGAAGAAGGATAAGTTTGTGGCAAAGAGAAAGACATGGAAGTTGCAGGATGCAGAGGTGAGGAAGGCATTTGAAGTGAAGGTGGCTGAAAATTGGGAGAGTGGTAAGGATGGAGATGTTTGGGAGAGATACAGGGACTGTGTGTTGGCTACGGCAGATAAAGTATGTGGATGGACGAAAGGAAAGTGTAGGCATGGTGAGACGTGGTGGTGGGATGAAGATATAAGAAGGGTTTTGGAAGTCAAGAAGGAGAGGTTTAGGGTATGGAGAAGGGACATGACGGAGGAAGCGGAGTTTGAGTATAGGAAGGCTAAGAAGGTTG